GTAACTCGCATTTACTGTACCAATTAACTGAAACGTTGCTTTACGTCATTTGTGGATTTTTTTTTTAATCCATTGGCTACTTTTTCCAGACAATGGCAGCTGGCGTTGGTGCACCAGGTTCCGGAACAACTGATCAGAATTTCGATTATATGTTCAAACTGCTGATTATTGGTAATTCATCGGTTGGCAAAACTTCATTCCTCTTCCGATACTGTGACGATTCATTCACATCTGCATTCGTTTCAACAGTTGGTATCGATTTCAAAGTCAAAACTGTATTCCGAGGGGACAAACGCGTCAAATTACAAATATGGGTATGACTCTTGCTGTAATACGTAGTGTCAATTGCTATTTCCTACTTCACATGCGAAAGTATGAAATGAAAAGTAACAAAATAGTGCCAGTTTGCTTAACTTCAGAATAATATCACAGTGCAGAAAACCGGGTAGGTTTAGCAATTTCTCTTCAGAAGAACGAATTCTTCGATGGCGTAAGGAAGTGGACTGGTTTGTTCGCCCGTCCAAGAATTATTGCGCTTTGATAATTTTTTTTTCCTAAAAGTCAATAGTTAAAATCCCATTTATAGTTCACTTCCCGTGAGAGGTTAAAGCGCTTGGAAGCAAACCGACCAGATGCATATGCCAATAGCAATGGCGGCTTACTCTTTTCGTTGGCAAAGCTTCGGCAGCTTACACTCTCCAGGAAAACATCAGAGTTTCTTAATTTTTTTGTAGAAAGAAAACTTTGTAGTAGCGGCGCTTACATCTTCATCATCAGTAATCATCATTATCACCTCCACAATCATCATCACTGTGCGATGATGCAGTATCTAGCCATTTTCTTCTTTTGAGTATTATCAATTTGTTTTACACGTTTTTTCATCTTATTCTGAGCTAATGTGATTTAATTTGGACATTTTCTGCAATGGTGTTTCTAAAAAAAAGGTTTATTATTAGCCACAAAGAAACAATTAGAAAAATCACAGCAGTTTGAAAGCCAATCGCCAATCGAAAGCCAGTCTTCATTCATTTCAATGATAAAATGATACTGCGCACACCAGAGAGTCAAATCCGTCATCAGCTTGCTTTGCTACTAAGTCATTCTCAGAAGAAGCAGCCATCGACAGATTTGCAAGTTAATGGCTGCCGTTAGCAGTTGTTGCCACTTGGATTACTTTCGCATCAAAATGAATGCGGAAGGGGTTTTGATTTTGACCGCTTCAGCAAATCCAGAAGAAAGAATATAAATCCCTGCGATTTTTCAGGATACAGCGGGCCAAGAGCGATATCGGACGAT